TATATATATATATATATATATATATATATATATATATATATATAGTTTTTAAAAAATTACTGAGCTACACTATAGTTTTCCGACGAAAGGGGTGTCGTTTGACGCCCCTTGGGTGCATGTGGCTCCGCCGCTGTACATCACACCCTTTTGGGATGCGGTCCTTCCTCGAATCCTGCGTAAAGGTGAGATGCTTCGTACATCGGGCTATCCTATTTTATAGTGATAGTATAAATAATTTTTAGTACAATTTAACTGGTTATAGCAGGTTCTGCACTATTTTTTAAGTTAGCTTATAGTAATACTCCCCCTGTTCCAGTTTATGTGAACCTATTCCCTTTTTGGTCCGTTCCAAAAAGAATAACGCCTTTCTAAATTTGGAAACTATTTAGCTTAAACTTACAATTCTACCCTTAATGAGAAGCTTTTATAACCACACAAATACTCTGGGCCCCTTTTTAACTTGTTTAGTACCACAAATTTCAAAAGTCTTCATTTTTTCTTAAACTCCGTACCCAGTCAAACAGGTTCACATAAATTGAAATATGAAGAGTTACCTATAGTTGATAATTAATATGAAGAGGTTACACAACTTAAAGACTTTCTTCTTTATGTCACTTGTACTGTGTTAGGTTTACAATTTTGGGAACATATAATGTTTTGATGTCTATGAGGTTGTAGTTCAATGTTTTTACGGCAAAAGAAATGGTCTTTCTATGACAGTCTAAAGAATTTTCGATTGGTGCAATTTAACTAGTTATAACGGGTTCTCGCTCATTTCAGGCTATTGTATTATACTTAATGCCTATAGTTGTAGGTCCGATTTACCTGACTAATAACGTAAAAGAGTCAATACCTTATCCGTGGTAGAACTTAAACTCTGTCTTCCTTATGTAACTTGTAATGTGTTAGGTTTACAATTTTGGCGTTCGTGGAGGATAAGATGCGGGAGGCGAGGTTGAAATGATTTGGGCATATTAAGAGGAGAAGCACAGGAGCCCCTGTTCGAAGGTGTGAGAGGTTAGGGGTGGTTTTGAGGAGGGGTAGAGGTAGGCCAAAGAAGTCTTGGGGAAAATGATTAGGCGGGACATGGCGCAGCTGGAGCTTAGTGAGGATATGACCCTTGATAGGAGGGTGTGGCGGTCGAGGATTAAGGTAGTAGGTTAGTAGGTAGTCGAGCGTTCTCCGTATATCTGCTCAGCTCGATAGCATTAGTGTTAATATGATATCCCTTTATTCTTAGATTGTTATTAGTACTTGTGTTCACTTGCTTTCTTGGTTTTGGTCTTCTTGTTTTATCTTGTTGTTATTACTACCTATTGCCGTTACTTTTTTTATTATTTCTTTAGCCGAGGGTTTATCGGAAACAACCTCTCTGCCCTTCTAGGATAGGGGTAAGTCTGCGTACATCTTACCCTCCCCGGACCCCATTCGTGGGAACTCACTGGGTTTTTGTTGTAGTATAATGTTTTGATGTCTACGAGGTTGTAGTTCAATTTTTTTGCGGCAAAAGAAATGGTCTTTCTATGACAGTCTAAAGAATTTTCTATTAGTGCAATTTAACTGGTTATAGCAGGTTCTCACTCTATATTTCAGGCTATCACATCATACTTAATGCCTATAGTTGTAGGTCAGTTTTACCTGACTAAAAATGTAAAAAATCAATACATTATCCATGGCTAGATCTTAAACTATTTCTTCCTTATGTAACTTGTAATGTGTTAGGTTTACAATTTTGGGAACTTATAATGTTCAGATGTCTACGAGGTTGTAGTTCAATCTTTTTGCGGCAAAAGAAATGGTCTTTCTGTGACGGTCTAAAGAATTTTCTATTAGTGCAATTTAACTGGTTATAGCAGGTTCTCGCTCTATATTTCAGGCAATCATATCATACTTAATGCCTATAGTTGTAGGTCAGTTTTACCTGACTAAAAATGTTAAATATCTATACATTATCCGTGGCTAGAACTTAAACTCTTTCTTCCTTATGTAACTTGTAATGTGTTATGTTTACAAATTTGGGAACTTATAAGTTCGACAAATTTGCTGTCGAACTTAATTCAGTGCTAATTTTCGCTTGTAAGCTCTTCTTTTAACTAAAGGATAGAGTTATGAATATTGTGAAGTAAAGATATTGAGAAATATGAGATGAAATGCACAAAGCGGAAAATTATATGTGGAAAACAGTGTATTGTTGCCTTGAGAGTATAGCAAAGAAACGGTATGTTGTAGTTATTAGTATAGAATCTCTTCGCTCTTGTTTAACAATTCATCTCTGCAATTATCTATTAAGCAAACATTAATATCTTGATCCTTCATTGTTGTTGATCATTTGAAGTTATCAAATAGGCCAGTGGTCAAACTTAACAAACTTAATACATACTTCCTTTGTTTGAATTAAAAGCTTTCGAGACAGCAAATAAATGTATAAAGATGAAATGGTTTGAATGACTTGAAGATAGGGGCGGAGCTAGGTTGGCGGAAGGAGGTTTAGCTCAACCCTGTTCGCCCGAAAATTACACTGTGTATATAAGTCAATTTATTTTCCCATGTATATATATTAGATGTTGAATCCCTTAGCTTCTTCACGTGTTTACTTTTTTTATTTTCTGAATCCCTCGGTGAAAATCCTGTTTCGGTTGAAGAGTGATAAACTTTTTAAATGGACTAATTGTTTAGGAACAAGCTTCTTTTTTGTTGGCGTCTCCTCTGACAACTATTTATATATGCCTTGTAGTTAGGAATGGCCAGTGCACTAGAAACTCTTTGCGGGCAGGCTTTTGGAGCTAAGCAATACCAAAGACTTGGTACTCAAACATACACTGCCATTTTTTCTCTCTTCATTGTTTGCATTCCCCTCACAATCTTATGGATGTATATGGGAAGATTGCTTACCTTCGTCGGCCAAGATCCTCAGATTTCTCATGAAGCTGGAAAATTCATTAAGTGGCTGATTCCTGCTCTCTTTGCTTATGCAAATCTTCATCCGCTTATTCGGTACTATCAAATGCAAAGTATGATTGTTCCCATGCTTGTAAGCTCCTGCATAACAATATGCTTCCACATACCGCTGTCTTGGATGCTAGTGTTTCGCTCTGGCTTTGGTAATATTGGCGCGGCAATAGCTATTGGTATATCGATGTGGTTGAATGTCATAATCCTTGCTTCATACATGAAGCTGTCTCCCGCTTGTGCAAAAACACGCGCACCAATGTCTTGGGAGATCGTCAAGGGAATGAGAGAGTTTTTTCAGTTTGCTATCCCTTCTGCAATCATGATTTGGTACTTCAACTCCCTCGTCCACTCATTTTAAGAATTTAAATACACTTTTTGATCGTGTGTCTTTCTACGAAATTTATGTACGTGTTGTATTTTCGTAGTCTTGAGTGGTGGTCATTTGAGCTGCTCATCTTGCTATCAGGCCTATTGCCAAATCCACAACTTGAAACTTCAGTTCTGTCTATATGGTATGTTTTTCATCTCGCTCTCGAGTGAGTAAACTCAGTTAGTAATAGATTCATGAAATCCAAGATTTTGCTAATCTTTTGGGAATTTTATAATGCAGCCTGAGCACCATTTCTACGCTTTATGCAATACCATTTGGTCTCGCTGGTGCTGTAAGGTTTGTCTAAGTGTTTAATCCAACTTTCCACTTCCATGTGGTTTGTTTCTCAAATATCTGCTTAATCATTGACTTCCTGTTTACTTTCAGCATTAGAGTATCTAATCAATTAGGAGCTGGAAATCCTCAAGGAGCTCGCGTATCTGTGCTTTCTGCAATGCTCATCGCGGCCACAGAGACAATACTCGTAAGCACAACTGTCTTTGCTTGTCGAAACGTATTTGGCTACATTTTCAGCAACGAGAAGGAAGTCGTGGACTATGTCGCAAACATGGCCCCTCTTCTATGTCTATCGGTCATAACTGACAGCTTGCAAGGAACTCTTTCAGGTTAGACTTTTTCCACATCATATTACTACACTTAAGGTAACAAATATCAACGACGGAGCCACATTTACCAAAAAGGGGGTTCAACTGAATCTCCTTTGCCGGAAAATTGCACTATGTATATATTGTTGAATCTTGAAGGGGAGCCTTGGCGTAACTGGTAAAGTTGCTTCCATGTGACCAGGAGGTCACGGGTTCGAGCCGTGCAAACAGCCTCTTGCAGAAATGCAGGGTAAGACTGCGTACGACAAACCCTTGTGGTCCGGCCCTTCCCCGGACTTCGCGCATAGCGGGAGCTTAGTGCACCGGGCCGCCCTTTTTATATATTGTTGAATCCGCCACTATTAGATACATGACAAGAACAAGCGTATGACTAATTGTGGCTTTATGCATATTATAGGTGTTGCGAGGGGATGTGGTTGGCAGCATATCGGAGCCTATGTCAATCTTGCTTCATTTTACCTTTGTGGAATTCCTATAGCTGCTTCATTAGCTTTCTGGCTTAACTTTCGGGGAAAAGGCCTGTGGATCGGCGTACTTTCGGGTGCTGCTGTGCAATCTATTCTACTATCTGTGATAACATGCTGCACAAATTGGAAAAAACAAGCTGCAATGGCAAGGGAGAGGCTTCATGAACCATCTATTGATGACAGGTTGATGTAAATGAGAGGCCTATAAATGAATTGTACTTCTCTTATTGAAGTCTAGAACAGGTTACAAAATGCTGAACTAAAAGAATAGAGAGAGGATCCAATTTTCCCGTTCTGTCCTCTAAAGTTTTGTACTTTAATTTGTATGTTCTCTAAATCTGCATAATCAAAGTTGAGTTCTTTTTCTTCTTTTGTCACATTGATTGATATGAGTTGAGCTTAAATGAAGAAGTAAGGATTTGTATAGCTGATCTTAACTTGTTTGTATTGAGGCGTAGTTCTTGTTTTGTCATGTTGATGTAAATTTGGGCAATTTATTGTCAAGCATGAATGTCACATGAGGCATTAAACAATTGCCACACTTTAGTTAGGGAAGCCCGGGGCACAAGGTATCTTGCGTTCGCGCAGGGTCCGAGGAAGGGCCGCACCCTAAAGGCTGCGGGGTGGCAAACTGGTGGGCTGTGTTGGTTATGGGCGGGGCGAAAACCGGATAAATTGTCCGAACCGATCCACATTTAATATGGATAGTTAAACCCATTAGTTATCCACTGTTTATTCATTTTCTAAGTGGATAATATGGTTTTTATCCATATTGAACCTGTTTTCTAAAAGTTTGTTATCCAACCCATTTTATTTTTAATGGATAATATAGGTGGATAACTGTTTTATTTTAACTATTGCCACCACTAGCTGTGATGTAGACGGTTTACCCTAAAGTAAGTATTAATGGTTGCTTCTACGATTTGAACCACTGACGTATAGGTCACACAGAGATAATTTCGTTACTACAATGTACCCATCAATTGCTACACTTTAGTTGGCACTAATATGTTTTGTTCCTTAAAAATTGTTGATTAACTTGATAAAGACGACCATATTTTTAAATGGACAATAATAGGCACATTAGCTACCAGTTTCAGATTTAAAAGATAATAGAGATATATTTTAATGGAACAAAAGTTTTTTTTTTTTATATAAAAATAAGAAGGGAAAAAAAAGCTAATACTTGAAGGAATAACTCATAATTGTGGGATTTTACAACAAAATAGAAACATACAGAAAAAAAGTAATTTAAACTTCAGCTAGAATAGCAATTATCATAATATGGTGCAATTATAAATTTACAGTTTTCAAAAAATGTACACCAGTAATAAGGGGGGAACTTTTTTTTTTTTTTTTTTTTCAATTAGGACAAGAAACGAGAAAATGACGAAAATAGTTCATTGCTTTTGAGATAAGTTTAAAATAGTCCCTTATATTTATAAGCAATTTTGATCTTATAAATTCGCCAAAATATATTTTGTTTTGTATCGCATTTATTAAATACGACTTACAGAATACTATTTATAAACACATCGACAGAATACATTATAAACGCATCGGTTGAATGCGATTTATAAACGCATTCGTTTTAACGGCGTCGTGTAATTCTTCCAGCGATTGATAATAAAACCCAACCGTGTTCTTCCGCCTCAACTCTTCTGCAAATAGTGTAGCAGTTTTTGCCATTTAAATTTTAGGGGAGAGAAAAGAGAAATGGGGAAAGCAGCAAAAGAGCAACTGAATAGCTCTAAATGAACATCTCAATACCATTCATGAAACTCTTCAGGTTTAATTATATAGTAACTCCTTTAATTTTCTTTTTTTCGCATTCCTTATTATATTTGTATCGCGTGATTTATGAATTTTTTTTTTTTTTTGCTTTATAGGTATTGAATCAAACACCATCATCGTCACTTGAAAGAGTAAGCTGGAAAGAAGTAATTCAAATGGGTGAACAGCTTTATAAACAAGCTACTGTGGGTCAATCTTTTTCTTTTTCTCTCTAATATATTTAATTTTGCTGCTTAAATTTCCAATTTATATATATGCCAGCTTTGTGCTTATATTTGGTTTTGATGAAACGACGTTACCTCCAAATTTATGTTTATATGCAAGTTATATTTTCTATTAAATAAAATAATGCAATTTTTGCTTAAATATGTATGAATGTAAGGTGAAGGTTGATTTTGAAAGTTCTCTTTCCTTCTTGAGCATTTTTTACTATCTTGTAATGTTGTGATGAGCTTTCTTTTACCTAATATCCTTTTCATTGTAGATGATATTATAGAGTAAGGTTGATACTTATTAAAAAATTTCGGGCATCAACACGATAGAGATAGATATATGAAAGCTCAGTACATTAGACATAATTCTGATGATAAATGATCCATTAAAGTGGTTAGAGTATAACTTCTGATGTGTGGGTTAGGTGCACGGGACGAGACGCAGACAAAAGCTTGGTATTTAAGTGGAGAAGGTAGAGAGACGAGCCCATTATCCACCAAGTTTCGAACCGTGTGCCAGTGGCCTGGATTTCTCGGTTAGCCAAAAAAAAGAAAAACATGATCCACTAAAGTTACGGCTGCAAAGATATCAACCCAACAAGATATGGTGCAAACTGAGTTCTAGATCAGGTGTCTTTACATGTAATAAGTCTTTGTTTTACAATGAGAGGCATGGACGGTATCTGTTTCCACATAAGAGAATCTATTTAAGTCATTGTCAATTCGGTGTTGTGTGTATATGTTTGATAGTGAAGCATAAGCAGTTATATGTGGTAGTTAAGCTAATAGAGACTATCCATAAAAGAGGAAGAAACATTGATTTGGTTATCAGAAACCTATACTACAAGAAGAATGGTGTGACTTAGATGTGATTAAACAAAAGTATCATCTTTAAATGCTTAGATGTTTCACCTTTTGTCTGGGACGACACTTACAATGTCTCACTTATACATTTAAATGAATGTCATATGTTCTGCTAATGATAGAGAAGGGTCTTTTTGGATTGGGGCATGATACAAGCTTTGCACTGTACCTGTTTAAAAGAATATTAATCAACTTTTTGTCATGCACTCGCCCCTATCCAATGAAAGTTCTTTGGCAACTTGGACCTGTGGTTGGCCGAGAATTAGTGAATTTGTTTGATTAAATCTAAAAACTGTAGTATATAGCTTCCGTGGTCTTTCTTCCTATCATAGAAATTCGTAGATATGCATTCCCAGGATTCGGGGGGGGGGGGGGGAGGGGGGGGGAGGGCTGGGGTTCCAATTTTGATTAACGGATAATTGTAAGTTTCAGGCATTTACCTTGGAGATAATATTGGTAGTTGACAATTATTTTTCTTTTTGATGCAGTTGGAATGCTTTGGACTGGAGAGACTCCAGAGGTTAAAGCACTCGAGGAGAACATGGCTTCATATTTTAATATGTTGCAAGGGCTTCTTCTGCTCTCCCACTCAAGTACAGTGGGCGCAGGACCTACCCTGGCTTCTAGCATTCATGCATCCATTAAGTCAGTTGTTGATAGCAGTTTCATGTTGATGAAAGAGTCTGTGTCCTCGTATGGTACTCTCCTTCTCTCTCTATATATCTATCTATCTATATGTATGTGTTTGTGTGTGTGTATATATTCATTTATTTATTTATTTATCAATTTCCAAGCCCAAGTCCATGAACATATGAAAATCTTACAAGTAATAATATTAGGAAGTGTTAATATCTGAAATGGATAAAAGGTGAAGTCATCATATTTCTTTGGGGAAGTGCTTATCTTTTCTTTTTTTATGCATATGTGGCACATCAGCATTTATCATACAAACAAAAAGGTCATACTAGCCTGCCTTATTTGGGGTAGCTTGTTGGAAATTATGAGCCAACTTATCTAAGTGCTGTGAAAGAGCTTATTGCCCCAAAGGTACTGAAAATTGCCTAACAGTTGAACATCTATACTTGTGTATCCAGATGCTGTTTCGCTGATGTGCTTTGCCAAAATTTCAAAAAATGGATAAAGATTACATGCGTGAAACACCCCCTCCACAAAACATAGAAAAGGGAGGCAGAAGGAAAATCAGATAATGGTATATCTTGCAAAAATAAAATGGAAGAAAGAACCCCTTTCTGCCAATACCAACACCTCAAAAGAAACAGGGAAAGAGAGAAGTTCTATAATGGAAGAAGACCATGTAAATGAGGTGATAGCATTTCATGTGCTGGGGTATAAAACATCCTGATGAAAGTAATATTTTACAAACCTTCTCTCTGTGGAACGGTTGGGAGGAGAGTTCGCGATGTGCCAGGTGCAGAACACACACAGGTGCAGAATACAGTAGGAGAACTGCAATGAGTGTTAACCAATAGGCTAAGCATAGATCTACAGCCCTAAGGATGTGTGAGAATGCACGTGAGAAAATATTATTGATTAATATTGACTTGTGTTTAACACGATACAATGAGCTCTATATATACACACATAACATATCCTACTCCTAATACATATTGGAATAGGGTTATTTACTCCTAATTACATGACTATTCTAACACTCCCCCTCAAGCTGGTGCATATAAATCATATGTACCGAGCTTGTTACATATGTAGATAATACGAGGACCAGTGAGGGACTTGGTGAAAATATCTGCAAGCTGATCATTCGACTTCACAAACTTTGTAGCAATATCTCCCGAGAGTATCTTTTCTCTAACAAAGTGACAGTCAATCTCAATGTGTTTAGTTCTCTCATGGAACACTGGATTTGACGCAATATGAAGAGCAGCTTGATTATCACACACAAGTCCCATCTGACTAATCTCACCAAATTTCAACTCCTTGAGCAACTGTTTGATCCAAACTAGCTCACATGTCGCCATAGCCATCGCTCGATATTCTGCTTCTGCACTAGACCGAGCAACCACATTCTGTTTCTTGCTCTTCCAGGACACCAAATTTCCTCCTACTAAGACACAATATCCAAACGTAGAACGTCTATCAGAAGTGATCCTGCCCAATCAACATCCGAGTATCCAACGATCTGCTCATGGCCTCGATCCTCAAACAATAAACCTTTGCCTGGAGCTGATTTTATATACCGAAGAATGCGAACAACTGCATCCCAATGACTATCACACGGAGAATCCATAAACTGACTCACAACACTCACAGAAAAGGAAATGTCAGGTCTTGTCACTGTAAGGTAATTTAATTTACCAACCAACCGTCTATATCGTGTAGGATCGCTAAGAGGCTCCCCCTGTCCTGGCAGAAGTTTAGAATTCGGATCCATCGGGGTGTCAACAGGTCTACAACCTGTCATTCCTGTCTCCTCAAGAATATCTAAGGCATACTTTCGTTGTGAGATCACAATACCTGAGCTAGACTGAGCGACCTCAATACCCAGAAAATATTTTAGTTTGCCCAGATCCTTAGTCTGAAAG